ACTTCACCCCAAATTGCATGACAATAAGTCGCTTTGGATAAAAGCGTCTAACAAGTAACATGTAATGTAATATAATTACTGTTTAAAATAAGATTTCTGTAGATTTTCCGATGGTTTCAAATGCCGTATAAACTCATAGGCTACATTACTGGCTTAAGATATCAGAGTAGAACAAGTTGTTTTCTAGTTGTTTTTCTCGCCTCCGATATGATATGAGGGCAAGGCTGCTCTGTGAGGTTGACAACTAAATTGGGGTTACAAAGCAGATCAGTTGAGGAGTTTGCATTATTGCTGTAACAGGCTAGAAGGTTCCTTGAAGTTTCCTTTGTTGTGGTGTTGAGGTGCCACCATGTGAACAAACACAAACATTTTCCCTTCAGGCCTAATTAACAGCTTTAACCTTATCTCAACCTTAACTGACTGAAGTGTGTCACTCAAAGGAGCTCCAACGAGCATCACAGAATCCAATGAGACCGACCAACAAAGCAATTATTATAGTTCTCATTTTTGAGACTTCACCCCGGAGAGATACGTTACAGCTGGTCTTTCTGCTATTTCTTTGATTTCGGGAAAGTTTGCACACGGAGGGCGACCTACAATGGGGGATAATACCCATGTGTTTGTACAAAGGTTGTCGGGGTTTCTCAGGGTGTAGCTGTGTCTGTGATGTGTTTCTCTGGTTGCTGCATTGCAGAGAAAGGCAACATTGATCTGATCAGAGAGAGAGCCGCAGTGAGTCAGAGCGCCTGAGGAACACAGCAACTGACAGATACACAGAGAGGCCCCATTAAAGGCCTACAGCTGTCAAATATGTAACACAACATGAAAAAATAGACACATTGTGGGTGATAGTTTGTTGTTTTCAGAGACTTTTTGTTCAAAGTATAAGATGTAGGAACTGGATACATACATTTGTTGAATATTGTATTTGTTCCGAGTGCAGTTTTTGCAGGGAAAACAGGTTGCTTGATAGGAAATGAGTCTGTCTAAAATATGTTTATGAATATTGTCAAGTCATGTTCATAAAGAGACAGTTAGTGATTTCCATAATGATTTAAAGGTAATATCAAGATGACATATTCAGAAGTCTAAGTTAGAAAAATCCATTGAGTATCCTCATGAGTCTTGTTGGTGGTTTTGTGACACGTATGGGTATATGAGTGTTGCATTCTGGACCTATCCATTAGGTTAGGAAAATAAATAAATGAACCGAATACAGATACAAAAAAAGTGATGGTATTAGTTTCCCCCTCAGAGCATGAGATCTAGCTTGTGTTGCTGCATGTGGATTCAGCATCAGAAGTAGCTCCTTAACCTGAATACTAAGTGGGGAATTATCAGTAATTATATGCTTAACACACACATATTATGATTATGTCAAGCAAAGTGCTATTAGTTCAAGAACAGGCAACCAAATATTGAATGTGTGTGTTATGGAGAGACACAAATCCACAGTGTAAACTATTCATTCAAAGTTATTTTAGGTTCGTTTTAAGCAAGCCTTTAGGTATTGAATGTTAATCAATACAATATCCTCACAGTAAAGAAAACAAGTGTTAGTGTGCTTGTAAGCTCGGCTACCAAATCCCTGCAGGTCGGTGCATGTATTTGTGTGTTTTGCCGTACAAGGTTTAACCGCCTTGAGCCAATGCAAATGCTCCCACAAGGTTAAGCCAGATGGAAAAGTCGCCCAGTAAACACAAGGATGTGTGTGAGTCCGTGTGAAGTGCAAGTGTGTGTTCTCCCCATGGCCCATCCATGACCCTGTAGCCTGTCTGTCCTCCATGTATTTTAATCTATCATCACTTCCTTCAGTCATCCCGTATACCCGGCCTCATTCTTCACTGCCGTCTGTCCTTGGGAATCTCCTCCTCTCTCTCTCTCTCTCTCTCTCCCCATCACTTTGTGTTTTCCGAGCTCTCTCTGTCACCTTCTCTCTTCTCTATTCCTCACCCGCTTTCTATCCTGACATCTTTGCTTCCTTTCCACCCCTTATTTTTCTGTGCAGTTTTCTTTCTGCATCCGTGTCAGTGTTTTTTCTGATTCTAAATGTTTCACTCCATGTCTCTCTCTCACTATTTTGCATCTTGTGGCCCTATTTCCCCCCTCTCTTTCTGTCTCTCTATCTTCTGGATGCCTCCAGCAGCAGACGACAGGCGGCCTCATAGTGTCGTATGGAGAGACTTTAAGATCTGAAGGTCTCTCGGTCTCACAAAGAGAGTGAACCAACACTACAAAAAAAGAGTAATAACTACCACAATAAAATGCCCTATAGTTTTCCTACAGTTCCTCCCCGTCTCTCACCCTGTGTCACTCCTCCTCACCTGCCTGTCCCTATCTCAGTCTCACTCCTGTGTTGCATGCTGCCATCTGACACTTCCGTTGGGGGACTCTTGTTTTCTGGTCTGGCCAGTTCACACAAATTACAAAAAACACATTTTGTGACTTTCCTCTGGTGGATTTGTGTGCTGATGCTTTGAGATATCCATCTTTGAGAGTACAGCCTACATCCAAGAGGGAATTTCCTCTGTGTTCCTTACAACAGAAACCAATTCAATGTATTTTAAGGATTACTATAACAATTATTCATTACATTGGGATATTGAGAGATTCTACTATATTTCTATATATTAGTAGTAATGCACATACACACAATTTGAAATGTGACAATATTATTTTTTATGGTAATTATCTAAACTATCTGCAACAAAAAATATTATGTTCAGCTTAAATTTAAGGCGGTGGGTACAGAAATATCAAGGACTAGCGTCTCAGAATTAGGCATATCAAACCCACGTGATGGCCAGATGACACTAGGAGAAAGGACATTTTTTTGTTTTGTAATTTGGGTGAACCGATAGTTTCCTTCGTTTTTCTTTAAATTATCCCTCTTTCTTAAACTGTCTATCTTTTTTTTCACTTCCCTGTTAACCTTCTTTCAATTTCTATTGATCGTGTCTTAGGTTTCAGGTTCTTTATTTCATTTGCCCTACGTTTATTGTATCCTCCTTCCCTTTACCATTCCTCCTTTGTTTTGTTTCTTGTTAATGATACCTCCCTTTGTGTTTATTCTCATCCAACCTTACAATAGTTTTTTCCCCCCTTCTTTTCTCTTTGATTCTCTTAATTGTATCCTTTTTCAATACTCAATATCTCTTCCCTTACCTCCATTTGCCTCATTTCTGCTGGCACAGCCCCTTCTCTATAATGCTGTTTGCACCAGCTGGTTTAATCTCTTCCTAGCCCTTGTCTGTTTTCAATTCAAAACACTGTTGTCTTTGTAGTTATATTTTATTCCTTGTGTCCCTTTCTATCCATCTAACCACTCGCACTGCATTATGGTCTTTGCAAACTGCCTCCTCCTCTCTATCTCACCCCATCTCCTTCATCAATATGCGTGTTGCAAAGGGTGATGGAGAGAAGATGGGAGAGCAATGGAGGATGATGGAAGAGAAGACAGTGGTGCTGTGGTGCGGTTGAGATGGATGAAAACAGACTGAGGCATTACAAAGACTCTGCCTCATTTTTTAAATAACAGCCCTGGCTGTACATAAATGCAGTTAGGAAATATTCCTCCTGACAAACATACATATAACAAATAACAGCTGCAGCATTATACCACCAAAGCAATTACAGCTTCATCCATCTCCAAGCTATCGCACCTCTTTGCTTTCCCCTGTCAGCAGACTTTGTTTGTGCAGGCATTTTATCTCCTGACTGCACAGCACTTACACTCTGACACTGCTTTCACAAAAGACAACTAACATATCCTAAGAAGAGAGAAAGTGTTTCGATTGAATGTTTCAAAGAACACAAGGAAACGTTTTGCTATATAGGAAGTATATGGATATTATGTCAAACATGTGATGTAGGCCTATACATTACAAAAAAAAATACTCAAATGTTAGGAGTGTCCGTTTTCCCCTAAGTCTGATGTTACCATTAAGTCTGAGAAAAAACATGACGTGAACCTTTGTGTTCCTCCGGTGTCATATTCTTATAATTTCTTCCGTTCCCCTCAGGAGGTAATAAACTCACAAAAAATACAAGTCTTCTCTGTGAATATTAGCTTTTCTGAAAGTTCTAAGTTCTTGCAATAGTTATAAAAACCAATGAAACAATCTCCTCAGAGAATGTTATAAATCGGGCCTTTGGGTAAGATCAAGTCCGGTTCAACCAGGGACACCGAACAGCAGAAGTGAGAGCCACTTAAAGTTAAATTGGGCTTCTCCACCACATGTTGAAGGCAGTCAACGTCTTAATGGTCATTGTTAATCACTATTCTAATTGGTGTATTACAGATCTCACAGGTGCTTCATTGTGTCTACTAGACCCTGTGCTGTTTTCAGTAAAATATTCCAAGTACCTTGTTTTTCTATCATTTTGTCAAGACCTGATATCCTATTCCTCATCCTCAGCTGTTTTAATTGTCCCTTTTAACCTCTGTGTTCTAAATCCTACCCTTTAGAACAGTACAGTGCAATCTTTCCATTATTGTCCTTTTCCTTATAGCTTAAGATTGTTTTCAAACCGTTATGTTCTTTCTCTCCTGTTTTCTAGAACCCTGATGATGTTGTTCTGAGTGGCAGAATTGGAGAACGTCACCACCAGGGAGAAGCTGGTGAAAACACAAGAAAAAAAGGCCCTATAGCCCCCCTCCCGTATCTCCTGTTTACTGTGCCCATTTCTTTGTTTCCATAAGTACCATGGGGTCATAGACCTGTACTGTCTGGTTTACTTTTTGCTGATTTTGGTTCTCATGTCTGGATTGGACGATCGTATCAAGGCCCGCTGTCTGTTTGCCTGCTGATTGGCCTCTTGCTACAGGATCCAGCTGACAGTGTGATCATCATTAATCAGTTTTTAATGGAACGGCACGCACTGAATGCTGAATTTTCCACTTGAATCATTTGTATCAGTGTGAAAGTGGATACAATGGGCGTAGATAATTTCAAAAGAAAACAAAAAAAAAAGACTTGACATGATTATGGACGGAAAATATGAATGAACTTCTCCCCATCTGGAGCAGCATCAACATGCACGGACAGACACCCAACAGATGGTAAAAACAGACTGAGAATGTATGGCTAAACAGTAAAAGTTGGATGCATAGATAATCGCACACAACCTGGATATACACTATGTTAGACTGCACAAACAGAACGCAATTATTATCACACAAATGGATAAATGGATCCTGTTTTGGATATGAACATTAAAACAATATCAGCGCACTCTTTCTGAACATAAGGAACTCTCAACATGGCTGGCTGTAGATGGCTCAACTTTTGTATTCCATGTGAATAATGGAATAATGAAAACTGAACTGTGCTGGGCTGATCCGAACTACACTCAACTGGAGCTGGATTTGAACCTTGACTAAATCCTGTTATCAATCAGAAGTCTGTTTCTGGAAATCAGTATACAACAAAAACCTGAACTGAAGTGGACCCAGATCTAGAAATGTACACTGGTCAAGGATTTGGACTGTGCATTGATCTGCAGCAGAAAAAAACTTGACTAGACTGGCCTGTTATCTATTAGTCTAGTCTGTGTATTCTACTGCTCTGTTCTAATGTCTGCCACTATCCACTGGAAGTGACAGGTGAGGACCTTGTGGAACTTGACCAGCCTTTCTAACGTCTCTCCAGGCCCATTTACACAGGTGAGTAATCTGCTGATTAACCTCTTAACCTTAACAGAACAAGCAGCCAAATGTAGAGTTATCTCACCCAATGACCTAGTCTCATTCATCAGTGAAACATATGGTGACCCACTGGCAGTCACCTTGACCGTCCACCATGTTGTGGCCCTGCCCTATCGTTTAAGACTCACTTAGACTTTGCAGTGTCTCCTCCTGCCACAAGTACCGTGTTACCTAATGAGGGCAACACTTTCGCGAGTGTCTTCTAATTGCTGTGATCCAGACAATTAGAGAAAGCCTCCCTGGCTAAACGGTCTGGTTCGTTACTAGTCTCCACTGACGATATCGCAACATGCGACAGTAAATGCACCCCCCCCCGCCCCAGGGTTGCTTCCTATCTCATGCTCCTCTCTTCCCCTCTCATTAGATGTCTTTTGTTTTGTTTTTTTCCTCCCTCCAGCCTGAGGCAGTGATCGAATACTGGTGGAGAATATAATACACCGGGTGGATATGGTTATGAGCCAACACCTCAGCCTCAGGGAGGGATTTAGCCTCTACAAAGGGGGGTCAGCAATATCTCTTTAGTCACGGACAGAGGCTGATGTGTGATGCTGCTGAATTGAACTCATCCATTCCCCAGAATGGAGAGATTTTCATTGTCAAAACGGAGGAACACATTTATTAGAGGGAATCAATAGCATAATCGGTTAAATTACATTACACACATTTAGCTCACAACTGATGGAGAATGCCAAGTAATAACCCTATTTAACCTCAAGGAAAAATATTATTCCAATATACCTGCTGTTCTGAGTAAACAAAAAACACACCAGTAATTGTATAGTGCCCATAACACTTTTATATCAGCCGTTATCATGAAATGTTACAAATGCACAGCAGCAACAGTGCTCTCTACTCTACACTGAAACATTGGTCAGGCAATTTGCTAAGCTCTATGGTCCTACACACTGAATTGTATCCATTAGACTTATCTGAAGTAATGGAACCACATTAGTTATATATGTAATAATCTTTTCACGCTACGCATACTGTAAAGTAATTATCATTGAATACAATTAGAATGATTTACTTACATTGGGTACAGATATGTTTGCTCTGCCTGCAGTTCTGTCCTTCCGATTCAATGTTGGTGCAATGAAGATGAATAACTAACTACATGTAGTTGTTTATTTTATTCCCATTATTACTTTATTTTTCAATTCCAAGTAACTTCACTTAAAGCTAATTTATTCTGCCTGGCTCCCATTAATACAAACCCACATAATCAAAATGCAAGAGAAAATACCCGGAGGGAGAGGAAAAGACTTACGAACAACATCTTGAAATGAGGCACTAACTTGTTGATTTATTTTCTTTGTTTGTTTGACATTTTCTTTATGATATCAGCCGTCAGTAGGCTCATGCACAATTCCCTATTGTGCTAATATAAAGTATGTTTTGTTAAAATGGCAGGCACTATGATTACACATTACTTTGATCTGTTCTTGTCTTTTAAACAAACAGCCAACCAGGGATGCTATTTTCTTCTGTAAGTGATGGTTAATGTATTTAGCAGGGACTAATAGTCATACAACATTTTGTCAGTTTTGATTCACAGATGTGAGTACCAGAGTGACTATCAAGGGTACTCACTTATGAAAGTTATCTTTTCACGTTCAACTATAACTGTGTGTTAGTGTGTGTGTGTGAGAGAGTCTGTGAGTGTGTGAGAGTGTGTGTCCTCTTGGGACAACATTAACAGTATGATTATAATTGCAGATGTCAGATACCAGAAGCTGTTTATACAAACAAACATTTCATGTCTGGTAATTTATTAAACCATCATGACCATTCCTTACACGTGGAAAAACAAACCGACACACACATCTGCAGCAAAACACACACAAAAGAGAGACAACATTAGACAAAACACACAAACTAAAAGCATGGTATAAAAATAGAGATAGCACTGTAAAGTGCACCTTATAAAGTGCCTTCAGTTGTTTTCCAAGGTTACTGTAGGAGAGTACCGGTCTGTCTTTATATTTAGATTCTCTGGCGGCAGTAGTTGTTGTCATACAGTACACATAAAAAGTTTGGACAGATCGTATACTGCATACTTAATCTTTTTCCGGAGTGACAATGTTATTGCTGTTGGGTAGGTAATTTGATGGAGTGAATTGATTTTTGCTTTAAACTATTTACAGTATCTAACTCATCATCACAAAGTAATGATATATTGTGTTGCACCGGAGGGAGAGTTGGCAATGGGAGAATAAGTACAAAGGATTAATATGGCTGTCATACCAAGGATAAATGTTTTAATTTCCTTCAAACTTTTATAGAACGTTTTAGATTTTTAGTCAATCTGGCACAGTTAAATGCTGTCCCTGGGACATGTGCTTCTGTTGTACTAAAAACAATGGTTATTTGCATGTCATTACTGAGCACGTGTTAGCAGGTTTTTTAATAGACTGCAGCCCTCCTTTGTTCCTCGTGTGACAGATCTATCTCGAGGCTAAATTTCAACATCAACAAGATCTGTGGTGCTGCCTTAAAAGAGCATGTCACTGCGACACAGCATTGCTTCTAACATGTTTTGACTCATGTGTGGCAGCATGAGAAAAATATGTCAAGTTTACAGCAAGGTCTCTTTGAACAAGTGGAAACAAGTGGAGGGTAAATCAAGGATGTATCTCCCTTACTTTTTCTTAAAAGGGAATGAGGCTGACCAGATGCTCCAGAGACACCTAGATGACCGAGGTCACAGAGGCACATTAAAAGCTTAAGGCTGAAATATGTCCATCTCATATGGTTACATATCTGTTAGGAGGCCATATGTGCACTAATTAAACTTTCATGGAGGTCTCAATTAGTGTGATTATGTTGTACTCTGTAGGGTGGGAAATAGGTGCAGTCTACAGGAAGTCACTGATAAACTGACAGTTTCCCTACTGTTCAGTCTATATGCTAAGCTCCAGTGATCTGCTATGTTTCTCTACATTTAAGAGAGTAAAATAGAGGGAGGGAGTATAAGAATATTCCTTAAAACTTCCCTGTTCACCACATGTGCGTTACATTTGCTCTGCCACAGGACAGAACAGACATGTTGATGTCTTTCAACCTGTCAAATAAGCTAATGAGCTGATGATTTAAACCAAATACGTGTGTTTCGTTGCATCACGTCTCATCAGTTAAAGCATCGCATGTAGACCACAGCATGGTGAACTTGATGTGGCAGCTTCCATCGGTAGGCCGTTTTGCAGCAGCACTCCTCCTAGCAACCATTCAGTTTATTTCATTTGCAGATTGAGGCTTTATCTCTACTGCTAGAAACACACAGACTGGAGTTGTTATTACAGACTTGGTGTAGAGGGGATGCAATGTGCTCCCTTTATGTGGGCTTTCGGGGCCCTGCAATGACTTCAATTTAAGAAGCATGTCACATCTGGTGGCCGATGTGGTGCTGATATAGACGTGGCCATGCATACATAATCACATTTTTATAAAATTGCCTGACATCACACACACACACACACACTAAAATGACCCTGGGCTCACAACATCACTGCTCGATTCTGCCCTCTTTAAAAATAGGACTTTCCAGCTGCGTGAGTGAAAAGCATTCACAAAAGGAAAAGGGGGGAATGTGTGTGTGTGTGTGTGTGTGTGTGTGTGTGTGTGTGTGTGTGTGTGTGTGTGTGTGTTTCTGCACTCAAATGTTGTCTTACCTGTGGTGATGTAAGAAGAGTGTCCTACAAGAGCATGGCAAGGTGAACATTGCCTTGCAGGATAGAGGGAAAGAGGAATAAAACAAAATGGAGGGGAGAAAGAGAAGGAAGTGCAGAAAGGGGCAGGAAGCGGGAAGAATAGGAGAAAACAGAGATGGGAAGATCGATGGATTGGTTGGTTTCGGATTAATTGAGAGCGAGGACAAGGGACGAAATGACAGAATATAAATGTTAGGCAGCTTATACAAGGGAGAGAACGGGTAGGATCATTTGAAACTACTCGTTCAGTGTATATTGACAAGGTCTTCTGGTATCTACAGATGCTCCAGCAGTGATCTTATCATGCAAGTGTTGCTTCTTGAATTCCACCGTCAGGGGAAGAGTGAAATAGGGTAGAGAGGCTGCACAAGATAAGCAGCTTTAAGAATAAGAGGAGATAAAGGAGAATTGGAAAGGACAAGGACTGTTAAAAAAAAAGGAGGAGGAGGAGGAGGAGAATGAGGGAAGGAGCTGTGAAGACGACTGGCAAGAGTTAAGAAGGAGACGTAAGAAAAGGAACAGAGGGGGGAACGCAAAGGGAGAAGAGCGAGTGGGATGTGTGGAGGATTACTCAAGTGTGCATTGAGCTCTGGCTGTATTGTGCAGTGAGGTTTCTTTGGTCCCTCGAAAAGAAAACATGGTAGTATGAATAATAGATCACACATTAACACAATGCATGTTTATTTTTGTGCTGTATTGTGTGACTCCTTTCCCCCAACTAAATGGCTATAAAAAAGATCTGCAGTGGGGCAGATGATGCTCTCAGCTGAGCAAATACGTCCCCACGCGGATGCATACTGAGTCAAAAGACACACGGAAAGATTATGTTGTGAGAACAATATAAACTGAGCATGTGTTAATACTTCATGATGAGTCAGAGTGTCCCTGAGTTGTTTGGTGGATGGATTCACGTGTCAGTCACACTGCAAAGTTGACATTGCTGCCAGTTGCCCACCCAGGAACAGCATGTAGAAAGCTGTGACTACTAAACTGCCATGAAGTAGCCTTAAAAAAAAGAAAGATTTCTGGGCCATGTTCGGCTCTTAAATGTGAGGACTGCTGGGATTTGTTCCTCAAAAGATCCAGCACTCAGTGTTCCAGCGAAGATCAGCAGCGCATCATATTAAGCCTTTTGAAAGCACTGCTGTCAATTTGAGTACTCACTAAAAAGTCTAAAGCCCACCACCATTATCCCATCAAATAGATTTCAGAAGATGAATTTTAAAGCAAAAAATATCAACAGTGATTTTT